ACCCAACGCAACGAAAGCGGGTAACACAGGGCGACTCGTGATAGGGACGCAGTACGGAGGCCAAGGGGCAGAAGGTGCACAGGCCCAGCTGGCTGCTTGAGCAGCTCGTCCTTGACACTGCGGTTCACAGGAGCCAGTTCAGTCCGTTCACCTGCAGTCATCAGGGCCAGGGGTCTGGCTGCTGTAAACTTGCGTAAAACAATTAAAGCCAGGGTTCCCATTTATCTGTTGGGCTCATTCAAGTTCATCGAATTGGAGAGAAAGAGCGCCAGAATGGGAGTACTAAGAACAAGTGTTCTCATGAGCCATCGTCACCCAGGTCCACAAAGTGCCCTCCCTTACTATAGGAATCTGCTCAGACAGCCTGGGCTCCTCACCTGATCAGGAAGGCCCTCTGCCTGGACAGCGGCAGAGCAACAAGGAAAGCAACCTAACTTTCCAGCTCTCTTCCACATTTTCGGTCAGTCATCAAAAAGCCCCACAAGATGGCGACTTCCTGTAGTTTACCTTCTAAAGCGCATTCTGCTTTGACATTTCCCTTTAGCGGTGAAGTGGCTTGGGGGATGTTTGCAGAGACTGAGGAAGTGTCCTAGGTTTACCATCAGCAGTACACTTAAATTTATAGCCTTTAGGTGACATTTTCTGCAGACATTTCTGTAGACGACTAACCTCAATCATTAAGTTTTGTGAACGTCCATATTAGAGGGTGACTTTTTGATTCTTTCTCCAGAACCTAAGAATATACCTTTTTGAAACCTGTGAGCCTCATGCACTGACTGTACTGTCAGGGCCATGAAGGTAAATGTGTGTGTATTTACAAAACTAAAATGAATTAAATACACGACCATTTCTATACTTTACTAAAATTAGAAGTATGAGGAACAGAGGCTAAGTCAGTGCTTTACTATTCAACAAAATGCCTTCAAAATGTGAGAAGTAGCCAAGTGGCCATATTCCAAGCAGCAACTGACATCCAAAATACTTTTTAATGTAAAAATCTAGAAAATTAACCAGGTGACAAAATCATTATAATGGCTTCCAAACTCTTTGAAAGAATACTGGATTTTCTTTTTGAAAAAAGGAAGTGCTTTATCTACTGAAATCTGATCTAAAGCAGCACCCTAGCATGGGGAGAAAGTAGGGGCCCTCCAGGGGTCCATTCCACTGGCCCCGAAGCACCGCCTGTCCTCCAAGACTCCACGGATCACAGCCCCAAACCCACACAGCTCCACAGGAAAACCTGGGGCTACCAACTTTTATGTAATACAGCTTATCAATTTGGATAGGATATGAACACGTTTTTCAGAGTTCCTTTAAAGGAAAAACAATTTAAGAATATCCAATTAATTCAAATTTTCTGCATGGTATTTTATCAGGCAAAAGCCCCAGGTGAACACAGGAAGTACAGATGAGTAACTTTAACATTTCAGTTGCATAAGAAGCACCACGGGTGCAGACGTCCCTTATCTCCAGAGACCCTGCTTCCTGAAGTCAAGGGCTGGTTCCTGGGCTCAGGCAGCCACACTGTCAACCAGCTCCCATGGTGATTCTGATACTACAGACATCCTGCAGAGCGTATTCTGAGGAACAGGAGACAAGCCTCCAAGGGAAAATCTGAGAAAGGCAGGGATATACTTTTAAAAGGCAAAACCAAAACAACCTCTTCTGTCTTGTTGCTGAGAATAGACCTTCATTCAGATTGAGATAGAGTAACAACACTATTTTTTATTTTTAAATTTCTAGAAATTTGTAATAAATCTACCTACGTTCCTATCCCAAATTAGGTATAATTTCTTTAAAAAAGTATGAATATAAAGTGCTGGTTCTTGTTTCAGTATTATCAGCTTGAGGGAAAACCACATAAAATTATCACCCATTCTGTTGACCTTTTCAGCTGAACAAGTACAAATTACGTATTCGGATCCACGTGTATCTGTAAATTAATATCACCTTTAAATTTTTTGGTCAGTGCAAATTTAAAATTCCATAATATACATTAAGTACAATTTTACTTTATATTACAAATGCACACTATTTTTCTTTTGACATTCTGGTAGTATTCATTTTTACAGCAAAAAGGACTGTTTACAATTTCTGAGTCACAGTATATTTTCCAACTCTAGGTAGGCAAACATATTTCAAAAAGCAAATACTACACATTTTTGACACATCCTAAAAAAATAAAAATAAATAATTTTGACTATAAAAGTTTATAAACGTTAGCTACAGTAAGGGTTCACAGCTAACAGTTGCAGAAAACTTAAAACACCTTTAGGATCATGTAATCTTACCATTAGACAACTTGTATGTTACAACACAAGTCAGTTTGATTTCCATTAAACACTAACAAAAAAATTAAACTGAAAATTCTCATCATCTAATTATGGGATCCCTAAGAGCTGCCAGGCATTCAGTATTTAAGCTACTAAGCAAGGACCTAGGAACTGTATTAGAATAAAAGGAGAAATCTGAAAACAGACATGAATACAAGCTTTAATTCACATATTTCTTCCTGAGAATTTAGAAGTTACTATTTTTTTTTAATCAGAATAGTTTAAAATGGAAAAGAAAAATTCTATGGCAAATCATTTTTTGTAAAGTGTGGACTCTGGTAGTGTCAACAACTGCTACCCTAATATGTAACTTGCAAACATGAATCTTATAAATTGTATTTATTTAAAACAAGGTACATGCCTATACATTTATTTGAAATGCTGGGTAAATGTGCCTAAAAAGTTAGAGAATTTTTCTAAAATAGGTTTTATGATATGATATTCTGAAGTAACTTTCCTAAAAAAATTAAGTCTGAATGAGTGAATAAGGTTAACAGATAAACTTCGTGAAGGTCAAATTTCAGTGGATTATGAAAATGAAAGACCAATTTTTTTTTAAGTAAATAAGGGTGTTTTATATGACTCTGTTTTAAATCCAATGTAACATTATAGCTAGAATACAGTTTTAAAAATAAAAAAAAACTATATAGTTATTTTGATTATTTTAATTCTGATACCCCCTAATAACTATTTACTTTGATTATTCTATAATTAGCACTATGAATTATAGATAAAATATAGCCTAAAGCAAAGTGAATCTAACAGTATATTTGTAAAATGTGATACTGGTAACAATTTTGATCACGAATTAAAGAATGAAGCCCATTATACTCAAAACATGACCAGCCCATCTACAGACTCTACCACTACCACCACAGGTAACTACTGTGAATGGTGTGTGAATAAGGTGAAAACAGATCTTCTCACAAAATCTTACAATACTAGAATTTAGCTGCTCACACTGAGATCTGGAAGAGATTACTTTAAGCAAAATAAAAGCATTCTAATGTAACTGACTACTACTGTATACATTTCTTAGTTATTCCTTCAGAACATGGCCTGGGCCTGAAGGTGACTGAAATTTAAGTTTCTGGCAACTCATAATAGACGACACAACTCATTAACAGATCTTTAAGGGGAGCTAATGGTGTTTGGTGGAAGATACATTCTGATTCTTCAGAGATTAATGGCATAAAAGACCACCAAATCCACAAATGGGCCATCTGTCCTAAAAATACCAGGCTGGAGGCCCCCTGGGGCAGCCTCGCTGTGGAACCTGAGGAAACAGGTTGGGGAGCAGCAGAAGTGCACCCTCGGAATATTTCTGAAGAATGAGAATATCCAGATAATATATCTATCAGAAGAATTAAATTAGGGTTTTAATTATTACTTAGGCTACATTTCTATCTGCGAGTTAGCAGAATTTATGATCAATTTAACTTATTAAATAAAGTAACATATTGTAAACACTAAACACAGGTATACCACAGTGAAGAAAATAAATAAGTAAAAAAAATATATCTCTCATTTTAAAATAAATATATAAACATTTTAGCAGAGGATTCTATATCCATTTCCCCAAGGGAAAATTCTGTTAAGTACTTTGGATATACTCTTGTATTTCAAAATACTGCAAGACCACCAAATTTTTAAAATGTTATCAATTAGTACTGCACTTGTTTCGAGCAATTAACCTGACTGGTAAATTTTCCTTAGTACATTTTGTCTGAATTTTTGACACTGTCTTTTAATCAAGAGAAGTTGGTGAACAGTCCGATTTGAAACTTCTAACTTTTTGTGTTTTTGACTGCCACCCAGCAGGTGGGATCTTAGTTCCCTGACCTGGGATTGAGCCCCATACCCTCTGGAGTGGAAGCATGTTGTCTTAACCACTAGAATGCTAGGGAAGTCCTGAAACTTGTAACTGTCAATGCAAAGTGCTCTGAATGTTGATTTTTATAATTCACCTAGGTGGTTCCCTTTCAGCTATACTGGAGTATAACAAGATGGCAGATTTCAGCTCAACTCGGTCATTAACAGTTAACCAAACAATAGGAGACTGAAAGTGTCCTTAAAATAAAATTTAAAACAAAAAATCTGAGTGTTGTCTTCCTTTTACATTTCTCCTTTTAGGGTTTCCTGGAGATAGATATTTATGTGTCTACTTGGTGCTGGGCTGCAAGAAGTCTTAAGAGGCGTGCTACAGGAGGATGCCCAGCATGAACCATGCTGGTTTGACACCAACCATCTCCTTTCAAAAAAGCAAGTCATTTTTAAAGGTTACAGTGTCATCACATTAAACATTAAAATGGCAATGATTTTCCACCCACACTTTGCTGGATATACGTGTCCAATCCACTGTGTGGTTCAAGAATAAGGAATGGGAGGGAGCGCACATGTCAGCGAGCCTACCCTCAGACACAGCCTTTGTGGAACGTTCTGTGACTTTTAGCTAGTGCTGTATGGTCAAATGTTTGCTGCAGAAAGACCAGGCATTTGTAAACAACCGGAGGTCTGGCTGTTTTTGGAATGCTATTTACATAAATGTATACCCACTCTACTATTGATGAAATGAAGACTAAGCTAGTTGACAGAGTTCTGTTTTGGATGAATGGGTATCTGGTTGTTTGTGAGGATTCTACACCAAGTCCTCACATCCTCCTCCATCTACTCAGTTTCCTTTGTATCCTCTTGGTCTGAAGTACTAGAGACGTCGTCATCCGTTTGTTCTCCAGAGAAATACAACATCAGTGCGTGTGTCTTGTGGGTTATGGTGACAGTGCAGGGCCCCTGGGCCCACGGCTCCCCATCTACCTGCATTGGCATCATCGAGCACTTCAAGATCAGCTAGAATTATGGGTAAAAGTGAGAAAACAGTTAGTCCCCAGAAAGCTCAGAAAAATCTTCCTTAATAACGTCTTGAGTCCTTTAACCTTTCTTAGGGACATTTCTTAGCATTTCACTCTTAGAAAATTAATCTGAAATATATTTTATTCTTTAATTGTTTAAGGGATTCCATTTCACTGAACACTTCACTTCTTCAACTGGACTGAGGGCCATATTTCCTGTCTTTCCCCATCCTACTCAGCCCTGGTAGAGAAGGACTGATAGCATGGGTTATAAACAACATGTTGGTTTAGGGAAAGCTATAGTGTATTATCTTCTAAACCTCAATGGCTTAGAAATGGGACAAATTAGTCCATTGTAGGAATATTTCACCTACTCGCACTGTATGTGCTTGTCCTATTCGAAAAGGATTCGCCAGTTTCACTTGAATCTGAGCACAGTGGAAAGACCCATATACTCCAACAACTTCCAATAAACCGTCATCATGCCTAAAATTGGACAAAGGAAATATGGATTATGTGATGCGGTAAAATAAAACCAGCCACAATAGGACAATTACTTTTCAGCATAGGTGGACCATCAACTTATTAACTATTGATATTAATGAGGTATACAAAAAAGAAAATCTGTGGTAAAAATGTTAAAAGTCTACAAAGAACAGACTGCTTTAGAGAAACCAGTGACATAAAAAACCACTTGCAAATGTACATACCTGGCTAGAGGGTAGGTCTCGTCTCCCATCCCTTCCCACAGTCTGCAGCCGCCACCCCAGTAGCCGATATTCAGAACGATAATGCCTTCCAAATTCGGCAGTTCTACTCGCTCACCATCCAGCTCTAGCTTTAAAGAAATAAAAGGAGTAAGTGACTTTAGGGCACACTACTTTCAGACACAGCCATTCAGAATCCTATCCACTTTCACATACATGTGAGAGCTGGTAGGAAGACTGCTTCCTACCCAGGTAATCTAGTCTTTCTCATTTGTTCAATGTTTATTGTAATAAATGAATCATAACTGAATTTTTTGAAATCAAAGAGATCCTTTTTCTTACATCCCATTATTTTTTTCAGGCTTTATCTAACTTGGTGTTTTAATAGCATCTCACACTGCCAACCCCTTCCTCTTTCCCTGAAATATTCTCTTCCTTTGCTTTCTTGGGAACCAGACTACTTCTCTGGGCGCCCCTCTGCCACTGCTGAGAGCTCCACTCCCAACCTCAAACTGAAGGCATTTCACACAGCTATGTACTGGGCTTCCTTCTCTTCTCTACACACTCTGGATTGAAACCTGAGCTACTTCTGTCTTGCTAATTGCCATCTCTGTGCTGATGGCTCTATTTTTTGTTGGTGCAGAAAAGTGAACTGGGTTAGATCTGTATATCCAACTGCCCACAAAACGTTTCCCACTGACTGTGGCTCCTAAAGTGCTCATGCCCAAAGCTGAGTTAAGCATCTTCTCTGCCATCTGCTTTCCCAGGAAGGGTGGCAGCAGCGGTCCTCACCCGCACTGCCTCACTGGAAGCCTGGAGATCACCTCTGACCTTTGTCTCCACCTCCACACCAATCAAGCGCTACTTTCGCGTCCCCAGCCCTCGCCGACACTCCTGGCTGCTTCTCTGGCTCTGCTCTCCCCTGACTCGCCTCCCAGAGGCTGCTGGACTGACGCTTATCTCACTACATCCTTCAGTGGCCGGGCTGTGTGCACCATGAACCCAAGTGCCTTAACGGTTTCTCTGTCACCTTGGCCTCTGCCTAGTTCTCCAGCCTTAGCTCTTGCCTCTGTCTCTCCTGCAGGCCACACTCCAGCCTGCACACACTCAGATATGCTATGTTCTCTCCTGCCTCTGGGCCTTTGCCCATGTTGTTCTTAGCACAGAATAATTTTTAACTCCTTCATTTAGCTAAGTTTTAATTTGCAGATGACAGTTTGTAACATCTTCCAGAAAGACTTCCTCGTCAGTCACTTTCCCTAAACAGTTTCCAGTCTGTGGGTTATGTTCAGTTCAGTTTCATTTCAGTCACTCAGTCATGTCCGACTCTTTGCGACTCCATGACTGCACCACGCCAGGCTTCCCTGTTCATCAGCAACTCCCGGAGCTTGATCACACTCAAGTCCAACGAGTCGGTGATGCCATCCAACCATCTCATCCTCTGTTGTCCCCTTCTCCTCCTGCCCTCAATCTTTCCCAGCATCAGGGTCTTTTCCAATGAGTCGATTTTTCACACCAAGTGGCGAAAGTATTGGAGTTTCAGCTTCAGCATCAGTCCTTCCAATGAATATTCAGTATTGATTTCCTTTAGGATGGACTGGTTGGATCTCCCTGCTGTCCAAGGGACTTTCAAGAGTCTTCTCCAACACCACAGTTCAAAAGCATCAATTCTTCAAATTCTTCAAATCATCAATCTTTCTTTGTGGTCCAACATCCATACATGACATGGAAAAACCATAGCTTTGACTAGATGGACCTTTGTTGGCAAAGGAATGTCTCTGCTTTTTAATATGCTGTCTAGGTTGGTCATAGCTTTTCTTCCAAGGAGCAAGCATCTTTTAATTTCATGGCTGCAGTCACCACCTGCAGTGATTTTGGAACCCCCAAAAATAAAGTCTCTGTTTCCACTATTTCCCCATCTATTTGTCATTAAGTGATGGAACAGGATGCCATGATCTTAGTTTTCTGAATGTTGAGTTTTAAGCCAACTTTTTCACTCTCCTCCTTCACTTTTATCAAGAGGCTCTTTAGTTCTTCGCTTTCTGCCATAAGTGGGGTGTCATCTACATATCTGAGGTTATTGATATTTCTCGCAGGAATCTTGATTCCAGCTTGTGCTTCATCCAGTTTGGCATTTTGCATGACGTATTCTGCATATAAGGTAAATAAAAAGGGTAACAATATACAGCCTTGATGTACTCCTTTCCTGATTTGAAACCAGTCTGTTGTTTGTCCAGTTCTAATTGTTGCTTCTTGACCTGCATACAGATTTCTCAGGAGGCAGGTAAGGTGGTCTGGTGTTCCCATCTCTTGAAGAATTTTCCACAGTTTTGTTGTGATCTACACAGTTAAAGGCTCTCGCATAGTCAATAAAGCAGAAGTAGATGTCTTCCTGGAACTCTCTTGCTTTTTCTAGGATTCAGTGGATGTTGGCAATTTGATCTCTGCTTCTTCTGCCTTTTCTAAATCCAGCCTGAACATCTGGAAGTTCATGGTTCATATGCTGTTGAAGCCTGGCTTGGAGAATTTTAAGCATTACTTTGCTAGCATGTGAGATGAGTGCAATTGTGCGGTAGTCTGAACATTCTTTGGCATTGCCTTTCTTTGGGATTGGAATGAAAATGGACCTTTTCCAGTCCTATGGTCACTGCTGAGTTTTCCAAATTTGCTGGCATACTGAGTGCAGCACTTTCATAGCATCATCTTTTAGGGTCTGAAAAAGTTCAATTGGAATTCCATCACCTCCACTAATTTTGTTCACAGTGATGCATTGTAAGGCCTACTTGAATTCGCATTCCAGGATGTTTGGCTCTAGATGAGTGATCACACCACTGTGGTTATCTGGGTCATTAAGATCTTTTTTGTATAGTTCTTCTGTGTGTTTAATTCCTCCAAGACTGCATATTTTTCTTACATTATTTCTTATGCCATATTAGTGTGGTTTAAATGTCTTTCTTCTCTCCGGACTGCAAACTCAGTGACAGTGAGAGATTTGTCACTGTATGTCTAGTACCTAGAACTCTGCCTGGCATTTAATGAGTGGTTTCACAGGTGATTTTTGTATAAACAGACGACTAGACAGAAAAATGTGCTACCTTATACGCTTCACTCTACCCAAGTAATCCAAGTCCAGGAAAAAGGAAACACGACAGAGCAGAACGAAACATCCTTCCCGGCCAGCCTCACCACGTGAGCTCAGAGCCCGTCCAGCCGCAGCACTTTCCGGGCTGAGCCTGCAGTCAGGCTCCTCCTCTCGGCTCACTTCCCACTCTCTCCCTGAGCTGTTTGCTGTTTGGCTCGTTCCTTACTTTGTTTGGCCGTGTTGTACGGCACGTAACAGATGCATCACAACCACAACAGGAGTTAAACTTCGGGCTCCATCTTCCTGAGAGTCCATGACTCAGGCACCGCTGTCACACGGCTTCACACTGGTCATCGCACATGAGCAGACACTGTTCAGTGTAAGAGTCAAACAGACTCTGGAGTTACATAAACCTGGGTTCAAATGCTGGTTACCTGTATCCTCGGGCATTCTGTGAACCTGGGCAAGTTATTTAATTTCAAACAGCTTCACGAGTGATGGGAATACAGTAGCATCTGCCTTACAGGCTGTGGTGAAAATTTAGTGGGAAAATGTGTATAAAGCACTTAGAAGTATCTGGTACACAGTAAATGCTCCGTATATGTTATCGAAATATGTTAATAGAAAATTCAGCATTTTTGTTTAAAAAAAGTTCATAGTCCAGAGACCACCTAAAAGTTTAAAAACTTACCTCAACTTTTTTATTCAAATCTTTACATTCTTGCACTAAACAATCTTTGGTTCCATAAAATAAGTAAACAGCCTATAAGAAATGGACAGAAAATATGATATTACAGCAATCTAACAAGCCCTGTAAGCTAGAAAAAGACACTGAACCAAAGCTCCCTGATGTGATGACTGAGTCGTGTATCCACAGAGTGGACTAGAGAACTGATGGGAGAAGGCACCATTATTACTAGACAGTTCAGCCCATTTTTTCAGGGGAATGTAGGATTAGGTGGTTTGTGCTTAAATGGTGTTTTCTCCCAGTTTATCCCAAAAGCTACACCTTATAAAGAAAATTTCACCTCTTCCTAGTACTTAACATTACTTAATGAAAGTAATACAGGCAAATGTAGCAAACATTTTATAAGCACTTTTGAATATAGAAAGGTTGATGGAAGCATTGAGATGCTAATTACTATACTGTATAAACAGTAATACTATTGCATTGGTAACTATATTAATAAAAGGGAGCTATTTGTAAATTTCAAATATTTGTAAAACAGAACCAGGAACAGATAATTGTAAAACAGAACCAGCATCTATTTGTCATATCCTGTTGCTCAATCACCAAAAGTCATTAAAAAAAATTCCAAGACAAATGCTCCACCAAAGGAATCAATTATACTAGAAACCAGAGATGATCTCAGTTAAAACTGTGGTTAAACAAACTGCTCCTTTTCTTACCTCATTTGCCGTTTAGTTTTTTCAGGCCTATGGAATCTATTTTTCCACTCATGACTTCATCAAAAATTTATCCTGCCTAAATTTACTTCCAATTCTAGTTGCCACTTAAGTTAAGATAAGCTATCATATATTCCATTTAGTATGCTCTAAAACATTGCAACTCTGAGTTAAAAAATTTTGTCATGGTTATAAAATACTTTAATAAAATACATTTAAGGATCTAATTTGACAGTCTTACACAAAATGGAGCAGGCAAATGTTTCCGTAAGTTAGCTGTATCTCAATCTAGGTGAAAGAGTGCTAGGTATAATTGAACTATTGATTTTTACTGTACCTTAGGTGATAAGCAGGAAATGTTATTTTATCCAACACACCTTATTAAGAATTCTGCTAGAAAACAGAGATGGGGCCTTCTCACGATGAGCATGAAAATTGAGGGCCATGAGAGCATCAGGTCCAATAGAAAAATAGTTGTTCATTGTGAATTCCTGTGGAAAAGGGTAAACAACAGATTAGGCTTCCATCCATGCCTGTGTCATTTAATAAATGTATAAATCTTAGTCTTTATGATCTTTATGAAAATTGAGTCATTTACTTTTTGCCTAAGCTATCTTATGATATCCAGTGATGTTCCAGAGATAAAGCTTCAGTTTAAAGGCTGATTCTTTCAGACAAAACTTCACTGTGCATTTCTGGTTAACATGCTACATCTAAACAGCCTACTCTACACCCAGGCTTCCCCATCCTGTGTCCTCATTATACTCGCTTGTTCCTTCCAGCACTTCTCAGGTGCTCAGCCTTGTCAGTCTCCATTAGGCTACTGGTCCCTGCTGAGTTTTTCTTACTTCCCAAGCCAGCCTGGGTTCCTCAGTCGAGCTGCACTTGGTCTTCTCCCTGAGCAATAGCTTGCACTTCTGACTTGTTCAGTGGGTCACAGACTAAAGGTTGACATGCCCCAAATATTAACGCATTTTCTTCCTATTCAAACCTGAAACCCTATTTTTCTTATTTTGGTTAATGTCATTTTCACACATCCTGTCATAAAAACTAGAAATCTTGCAGTAAAGTTTTTTTCCCCCGCTTCCCCAATAGCAATCAGTTGCCAAGTCTTGATCAATACTACTTCTAAAATGTCTCTGAACAGGGAAAGTGCTGAGTCATGGTGAGGAAGGTGCTGAGTTATGGTGAGGAAGTATGTAGTCCTCCTTCTAAAATTCCCTTTGTTTTGTCATGGTGCAGGTTTCTTACCTATTTTCACATTATCTCCAGTATTTTTTCTTTTTATTATTTTCTTTCTTGTTTTTATATATTGTTAATGTTAAGTTGGGGTTTAGCTGCTTTACAATGTTACATTAGTTTCCGCTGTATGACCAAGTGAATCAGCTGTATGTATGCACACACCCCCCCTCTCTCAGACATCTCTCCCCATTGCCACTCCCCCACCCCACCCATCTAGGTCACCACAGAGCACCAAACTGAGCTCCCTATATTGCACAGACGCTTCCCACTGCCTAGCTATTTTACACATGGTAGTGTGTATACATGTCAGTGCTAATCTCTCAGATCATCCCACCCTCTCCTCCCCTTGTGCCCACAGCACATGTCTGTATGTCTTTATGTCTGTATCTCTACTCCTGATTAGTACCATTTTTATAGATTCTACATATATGCATTAATATACAATATTTGTTTTTCTCTGACTTACTTCACTATGTATGACAGACTCTAGGGCCATTCACATCTCTACAAATGACCCAGTATTATTCCTTTTTATGGCTGAGTATAGAAAGAGTACCTGAAGAACTATGGATGGAATTTCGTAACATTGTACAGGAAGCAGTGATCAAAAGCATCCCAAGAAGAAGAAATGCAAAAAGGTAAAATGGCATTTTTATCTTCTCTGAGGAGGCCTTGCAAATAGCTGAAAAAATAAGAGAAGTGGAAGGCAAAGGAGAAAAGGAGAAATATACCCATTTGAATGCAGAGCTCCAAAGAAGAGCAAGGAGAGATAAGAAAGCCTTCCTCAGTGATCAATTCAAAGAAATAGAGGAAAACAATAGAATGAGAAAGACTAGAGATCTTTTCAAGAAAATTAGAGATACCAAAGGAACATTTCATGCAAAGATGGGCACAATAAAGGACAGAAAAGGTGTGGACCTAACAGAAGCAGAAGATATTAAGAAGAGGTGGCAATAATACACAGAGAACTGTACAAAAAAGATCTTAATGACCCAGATAAACACAATGGTGTGATCGCTCACCTAGAGCCAGACATCCTGGAATGTGAAGTCAAGTGGACCTTAGGAAGCATCACTATGAACAAAGCTAGTGGAGGTGATGGAATTCCAGCTGAGATATTTCAAATCCTGAAAGATGATGCTGTGAAAGTGCTACACTCAATATGCCAGCAAATTTGGAAAACTCAGCAGTGACCACAGGACTGGAAAAGGTTTGTTTTCATTTCAATCCCAAAGAAAGACAACGCCAAAGAATGTTTAAACTACCACACAATTGGGACTCATATCACACACTAGCAAAGTAATGCTTAAAATTCTCCAAGCCAGGCTTCAACAGTTCATGAACCATGAACTTCTAGATGTTCAAGCTGGATTTAGAAAAGGCAGAAGCAGCAGAGATCAAACTGCCAACATCCACTGGATCATAGAAAAAGCAAGAGAATTCCAGAAAAACATCTACTTCTGCTTCATTGACTATACTAAAGCCTTTAACTGTGTGGATCACAACACACTGTAGAAAATTCTTCATGAGATGGGAATACCAGACCATCTTACCTGCCTCCTGAGAAATCTGTATGCAGGTCAAGAAGCAAGTTAGAACTGGACATGGAACAACAGACTGGTTCAAAATTTGGAAAGGAGTACGTCAAGGCTGTATATTGTCACCCTGTTTATTTAACTTATGCGCAGAGTACATCATGCAAAATGCCGAACTCTATGAAGCACAAGCTGGAATCAAGATTGCAGGGAGAAACATCAATAATCTCAGATATGCAGATGATGACATTCTAATGGCAGAAAGTGAAGAGGAACTACAGAGCCTCTTGATGAAGGTGAAAGAAGAGAGTGAAAAAGTTGGCTTAAAACTCAACATTCAGAAAACTAAGATCATGGCATTCGGTCCTATCACGTCATGGCAGATAGATGGGGAAACATGGAAACAGTGACAGACTTTATTTTTGTGGTCCCCACACAATCACTGCAGGTGGTGACTGCAGCCATGAAATTCAAAGATGCTTACTCCTTGGAAGAAAAGCTATGACCAACCTAGAAGCATATTAAAAAGCAGAGATATTACTTTGTCGACAAAGGTCAGTATAGTCAAAGCTATGGTTTTTTCAGTAGTCCTGTATGGATGTGAGAGTTGGACCATAAAGAAAGCTGAGCACCAAAGAATTGATGCTTTTGAACTATGGTGTTGGAGAACACTCTTGAGAGCCCCTTGGACTGCAAGGATATCTAATCAGTCAATCCTAAAGGAAATCAGTCCTGAATATTCATTGGAAGGACCGATGCTGAAGCTGAAGCTCCAATACATTGGCCACCTGCTGCGAAGAACTGACTCACTGGAAAAGACCCTGATGCTGAGAAAGATTGAAGGTAGGAGGAGAAGGGGATGAGAGGATGAGATTGTTGGATGGCATCACTGACTCAATGTACATGAGTTTGAGTAAGCTCTGGGAGTTGGTGATGGACAGGGAAACATGGTGTTCTGCAGTCCATGGGGTCACAGAGTTGGACACGACTGAGCGACTGAACTGAAATAATGTTCCACTGTACACATTTACCACATCTTCTTTATCTATGCATCTGTCGCTGGACATTTAGGTTGCTTTCATGTAAATAGTGCTGTAATGAAGACTGGCATGTATCTTTTCTAATTATGATTTTCTGCAAGGAAGACAATACAGATGGCGAAGAGGCACATGAAAAGATGCTTAACATCACTAATTATTAGAGAAATGCAGACCAAAACTACAAAGAGGTATCATCTCCCACTGGAAAGAATGACCATCATCATAAAATCTACAAACAATAAATGCTGGGGAGGGTGTAGAGAAAAGGGAACCCTCTGGCACTGTTGGTAGGAATGTAAACTGATACAGCCACTATGGAGAACAGTATGGAGGTTCCTTAAAAAACTGAAAATATACCTTGGGTTTTCTTAAGTTGTAGTATCCTTTATTTGTTACTTGAACTTTCCATCTAAAAAACAAAAGTTAAAAAAAATCAGTAATTACTAACATACTGTCAGTTAATTATAATTATTACCAATCAACTCTGGATGCCTGGTAGATAAGGTTCTTCTATTAAAATAGCTTTTGGGAAATAAAGACATTTAAATTACTATGTAAATCTTGAGAGGAGTACTCAGCCTAATGTATGACCTAACTTATGATTTACATAACAACACAGTATACAGCAATAAAATAAAACACTAGTGTCCATACATAAGTACAACTGACATAGTCTTTTACATTTAAACTACATTTAACTTTATAACTACACAACTCTTCATTTATAATTCAAGTAATATTCTCAAACCTCAAGAAATCACTTTTGAGGGTAAGTATAACTTACCTATCTAGTTTAATTCCATCTGCTTCCATCACGTTTCTTAAGACTTGTGCAACTGGGATTTCTCCCGCATAACCTGTACCCCACCCCAAGGTATTGGATAGATCATTGCCTGTTCCCAGAGGCAAGACTGCAACTTGTGGAATGTATTTCTCTTGTCCCTACAATACAGAAGATTATTTTAGAATTTTCTCTTCAGACTATTTGGAGGGTAATAATATTTGGTAAAATTTAAAACCAAAGCAATAAAGATACAAATAATAACTGCTCAATTACAATATTCAAAGTTGGCAAGGCCTTCTAATATTCACCTGCATAATAAAAAAATATAACCACAAATACTGTGTAACTTTCTTGGAAGTGTTTCTGTGAGAGGCAAGGAGGTCTTAAGGATGGATACCTTAATCTTCATTTCGTCAAGGGCATCCAGGACCCAGCCAACAGTCCCATCCCCTCCACAGACAAGCACTCGAGCTGAGTCATAGGGAAGAAGAGTACAAAGTTGTAGGGCTTTGATGGGGGGAGTTTTAGTAACATCAAAAACCTGTACCGTGAAAGAAAAGGAAAAAATTATTTTACCCAACACTGTCACCCACCTGTGAGGATAATTTCCCTCTAGATGAGGACCTAGATGTGCTTAAATAACAATGCTGGCATTTATCTTTATGCTGGGCAGTATACCAGACTATAGTCACTGTGGCTCATCCTGAGTGAAGTGAGTCAAAGTTGCTCAGTCGTGTCCAACTCTTTGCGATCCCATGGACTATACAGTCTATGGAATTCTCCAGGCCAGAATACTGGAGTGGGTAGCCTTTCCCTTCTCCAGGGGATCTCCCCAACCCAAGGATCGAACCCAGGTCTCCCATATGGCAGGTGGATTCTTTACCAGCTGAGCTACAAGGGAAGCCCTAATGCTGCCCCTGAAAACACGAGTAAACAGCATTCTACTGGAAATGGAGACACAGGAAGGTTAAATAACTTGCCCATGCTTCCTCTGATAATTAAGTGCTGACATAGAAATCGAATCCTATATTCTATCCACTATACAATACTGCCACCTTTATGTTCACATAAAACCAGGCTGTGCTAAGTTCACTTTAACTAGTGCTTCCTATTCTATATAAGATTTAAAAAATCCATTACTAGTGCAAGTTAGTATACATTTCTGAAAAACAATTTTGCAATATGAGTAAAATGACATAAAGATGAAAGGATCCATGATACCTATAATTCTATAAATGATCTAAGAAAATATTTCAAAAGATGAAAAACCTTGTGTATAAAGATATTCAGTGTAGCATTATTTATAATCATACAACCGTAGAGACAAACTCGACTTCCATCAGCAGGAGACTGTATAAATAATGGATACATCCACTTGATGATTTCTTATTCATCACATATATAATTATGAGGACTAGGTTGCACATGGGAGAATATACTTTTAGGTAAATGCAAACAGATTACTTTTAAAGAAATGCCAACATATAAATGTATGCACAATTCATGAAAAGAACACAGACAAATGAAAACAACTTTGTGTATTTGTGTAGAGGTACTCAGGTGATTTTATTTTTAAATTTTATTTATTTTGGCCTTGCTGCAAGGCTTGTGTGATCTTAGGTCCCCAACCAGGGATTGAGCCCAAGGCCATGGCAGTGAAAGTGCCAAGTCCTAACCACTGAACTCCCAGGGAACTTCCCTTTCTCTTTCCTTTAAAAATTATTTTTATATTTTCTTAAGTTGTATAATGTTGAAAGGGAAAATTACAAATTAGAAAGAATGATTGCTGCACAATGGGTTGTTTAGTTTTTCAAAGCAGAAGTTGCTAGCATGTCATCTCAGTCTCAATGGCGTGAAACTTTTATTCTTACTTTTAAAATTGAGGTATAACTTACATATAATGAAATTCACTGATTTAAAGTGAACAATTAACTGACTTTTAGGAAGCTTAGTGAGCTGTGCATTATTCAGTTTAGAACATTTTCACTGCTCCAATAAGATTTCTCAATGTCCATGTGCAGTCACTCCTAATTTCCAGCCCTAGTCTTAGGCAATCACTGATTTACTCTCTGGTTCTATAGATTTACCCTTTCTGAACACATTGTATAAAAGGAATCATACAATATTGATCCCCTGCATTGTGCTTCTTTCACTCAGCCTGTTTTTGAGGTTCATTTAATTTGTAGTATGTGTGTACTGGCATTCCTTTTTATCACTGAATATTCCATTCATATGGGTACGTCACATTTTGTTTCATCCAGCCACTGACTAATGGGCAATAGGGTATTTTCACTTTTGGGCTATCATGAAAAATGCTGCTATGAACATCTGCATAAACGTATTTGTGGGATATATGTTTTCGTTTCTGTTGGGTAGATTCCTAGAAGTGGTATGTGGTATGGGAAATTTAAGTTTGAATTTTTAAGAAATTGTCCAAGTATTTGCTAAAGTTACTGCACCATTTACATCCCCACCATGAGAATCCCTCTTTATCCACAAATTCGGATGGCTCGATGCTATTTTCATAATTATTATTCTTCCCTATAACCAGGTGATTACTGGCTTAAAGCATTAACAACCATTACAATTTAGGGAAAATGTAAAACTAAAAATGAAAAGATTACTACAGAAAGAAAGGTCTCCTCTTTGGTTACCTGGACGGGATTTAGGAGGATCCTGAATTCCCCCAGCAATCCTTCTCCCATGTTAGTTCCACTACGAGAGTTGGCCAGAATTATTAATGGAGTCCATTGCTTCCCAAGTTTAGAGGCCAGCTAAAAAAATTAATGTGAGTTACAAAGACCTTAATATCTCAAAGACAGTTTTTCATTTCTTATTAACAACAGTGCTGTAAATATGCTGAGAGAAAAATCAACTATCCATATCAGTACAATATAAAAAAGAATTCTAAGAATGGAAAGAGATGAACTAATTTAATTTCTGCTTAATATATTAATTTAATCTCTTCTACATTATTCTAGATATGTTATCCAGTATACACTTGGGTACTCATGTAAGAAGGAACTCACTTAACAAGGAATTCCACTGCTAAATCAAATTACTAGAAAGTTTTGACTTAAATTGAGTTAAAAATCTGTCTTTCAGTAACTTTCTACTTTTGATCCCTGAAGTAAGGAATAATCTCATTTGTTCTTCCATATAACTGTTGTGTTTAATCACCTGAAGCATTATATCATTTATTAGTCGTGCCTCCCAGGCAACACATTTCAGCCCTTCATAGAAGGGACATTGATCTTCTCTGCTCTTTTAACCCTGACTGTGCTTTTCTGGATGTACTCTAATTTTCAAGCTTCTTAATTTTTCTGAATGGTGTATTCAGAAATATATTCAAGAATCCAGATTGGTACAAAGCCCTAAATCAAATTAAATTCATGTTTCTCTAATCTAACCACTTCTTGCCTCTCCCCTTCTCCTTGTGGGTATAAACATTAATGAAGATGTTCCCTGGTTTTAATTAGTGATCCTCAATCTCCTATGATGTCAGACTGAATTCAGATACATAAGGGGTTGTGCATTTTTTAAAAGAAGTATCACAATAACATTAAACATAATGTTTTTAAATTTTAAAATGTCTATTTTGGATTTCCCTGGTGGGAATGTTCACTATTATTTGTGGGAGGATCTAATGTACAACGTAAATTCTTATCTCCAGGCACCCTATATGAGGTTCCAAAGGAAAACATTCTTCAGAACAACATGTGAGGAAAATCTGTTTTCTTTTTACTGACAATAATCATGAGTCCCAAACCTGGCTGTTCATCAGTCATCTGAAAACTTAAAACAAATACAGATTCCTGGGACTTATGGCTACCTGCTCCAGTATTCCTCCCTGGAAAGTCCCACGGACAGAGGAGCCTGGAGGGCTACAGTCCCTGGGGTCACAAAGAGCTGGACACCACTGAGCGACTGACACTTTCACTTTCACAATATGGGGTGGTGGTTTAGTTGCTAAGTTATGTCCAACTCTTGCGACCCCATGGACTGTAGCCTGCCAGGCTCCTCCATCCATGGGATTCTCCATGGAAATGGGTTGCCATTTCCTTCTCCAGGGGATCTTCCCGACCTGGGAATCGAACTCGGGTCTCCTGCACTATAGGCAGATTCTTTACTAACTGAGCTATGAGGGAAGCCCAAAATATAACACATCCCAATTTCTCTTTAGACCTGAAAGAACTCAAGTGCCAAAGTTCATTACATATCTTGAGGAAATGGGTAGGGTATTATGGCTTACCATAATGATTCTTTGCACACACACAGTGCTCAGTGTTTTACGCTGACTTAAATAACTTTGTGGAAATCAACTATGTAAAGAAAAATAAACTCTGATTACCATTTCATAATCTGTTTTTTTATCTTTACGCATATGATTAATGGAGGTTAAATAACTTGGTGGAATGATGAGGTTTTTGAATTCTCCAAAATCACACTTTTCATTCCTTAAGCTATTTTTCATACATTCATCATGTACTGTTTTCTGACACCAAATGCACCTGAGGGAAGGAAAAAAACAGATAATAATTAACTGGAAACTATAATCATACTAATCTGCAAACCAATCATTTTTGTCAAAAAAACAAATTGTAATCTTATCACCAATGAAAAAATTTGGCAAATAAAAATTTATAATGGCTTTCTACACAGTGAAAATAGAGCAATAAACTTTGAATAAATTTGTTTAACAGTTCTTAAAGTGTGGTCTGGGGAAGATAATTTCAGGGGCTCTGAGGTTGAAAACATTTTAATAGTAATATAAGATGTTATTTCACCTTCATATCTATCAAAAGCATCCAGTAGAATTTTCTGGAAGCTTTGTGATATGTGCCAAGCTGAATGCAGAAAGAGATACAAGCCTCTGGCTGACTTCTACACCAAAGAAATGTACCAAAAATATAAAACGATGCCACTTTTCTCTATTTTCACAAAATATTTTGTTACCAGTATTATTTTTAAAGTGAATATTTTAACCGTTTCTCAGTTTTAATTTATAATGTGGTAAATATCAGTAGATGTAATTCACATAAGCAAAGCTGGTCTGGAATAATGGTTCTATGTACCATGTATTTAGGCTTTGGCTGGAACAGGGTAATTAGGCCTAAAGGCCTGCAGCTTAAACACCACACTGGTCCCAGTACTTGAAGGGTTTCTCAAGGTCCAGTCTGAAAACCTCATGATTTATAACCATCTGTGAACACTTCGGCAAAGATAGCAAAACAGTCAATTTCTTATTGGTAGTTAATATGAAACTAATCTATATGTTTACATCTAAATTACAGGCAGAGACATTTATGTTCAAATTTGTCTCTGTGTTTAAATCATATTTGAAACGAGAATAGTGCTGGCAAAGGTTTTAGGTTTCTATTATTAATCTGCTAAGTATTTAATCCACTCACGGATAAGGCAGATCTGACTGTACAGACAAGAGCAGGCCAACAGAAAACAATGGCTATAACTAAATAAAAAAAAAAAAAGAGGATACAAACTCTTCCACCCCAAGGTCACCTCTCTTGGAGTTCTATTTTAAGGTTGTTTTTTTCCGGTTGGATGTTCAGTTTTGTCAAGTAATTACTGCTATTAATTCAAGAATCCTAATTACTGCTGAAATTATAATGATCTGCATGCTCTGTTAAAGGGAAAATGTAAAATAACTTGCATCATAGACTTTGTTAACACTTGCTTTCAACCTAAGCTTGAGAAATTACAATTGATTGCTTATGTAGCCAAAGTATGTTACCTCCACCTACGGCTCTACGATACACTTTAAACTAGTGTATTGTTATTGAAAATAATCTGAAAGGAAACCCCACTGAATTATTTCACGGTTTCCTCTGGGAAGAAAAGTGGGACTGAGGAAGGAAAGGAACACTCACTTTTTACTCTACGTTCTTTTGTATTGTTTGAGTTTCTAAACATCAGTATATATTCATAAACTACTTGAATAAATTTTTAAAAGTGTATTTTAGGTGATATTGGCTTGAAAGTGATAGTGTTAGTCGCTCAGTCGTGTCTGACACTTTGCAACCCCATGGTCTGTAGCCTGCCAGATTCCTCTGGCCATGGAATTCTCCAGGTAAGAATACTCTAGTTGGTAGCCATTCCCTTCTCCAGGGGATCTTCCTTGACCCAGGGATAGAACCCACGTCTCCTGCACTGCAGGTGGATTCTATACCGTTGAGCCACTGGAAGCCCAAATTAAACTAGTATCTGCAACAAAGCACAAACCAAATTAAGGAATAATTCACCGTATCAGTGGAGGAGTTTTGATTTTAAGAAGACTTCTCAATTTTGAAGAGAGAATAAAATTTTCTGGTATGGGGGGCACTGCATGCAAGTGTATATTCTAGAATCTAGATCTTCCCAACCCAGCAATTAAACCCAGGTCTCCTGCATTGCAGGCAGATTCTTTCCTGTCTGAGCCACCAGGGAAGCCTGTTATGCTTGAGAATTTAGAAAATATAGAAGGACATAAAAGTCATCTAGAGATAGTTACTCTAACTTTTTGATATATTTAATCTCAGTTTTATGGTCCTCATATATTTATTTTTCATGTTAGGGGTAACAATGTATATATGTCTGGAGGTACTTTTCCTCAGAAATTGTATCATGAATTCTGTCTTAGGCCATTAAGTATTTTTTTTAAAAAAACATGGCTTGTAAAGATGTATCACATCACATGGACATAACATAATTCACTTAATCCTCCCCCCTCTAAAAAATTTAGATAGTTTTTCTAAGTATAAACAACATGATGCACAACCTTAAACATAAATGAGGTTATTTCCCTGGAATCTTTAGAAGCCAAATTACTGAATCAAAGGGCATGCGTTTTCCTAAGTTTCTTGAGATGTCTGCCCAGAATGCTTGATACCAGCAAACAAAGGTGTCCATCATATGTAATACTTGCTCAACACTTTTCCTTGATAATTTGATGAGTGGAAAAGTACTTTTTTGTTTCAATTTGGAGATCTTTGATCACTAGATGAAGCTGAATATTTTTCTGCCTTCTTTTGTGAACTGATTCATAGCCTATCTTTTACTAGGTTTTAATAACTGCACACACTGTTAGTTATGTAGGATATCAACTTCTTTTCTGTCATAGTTCCTACAAATATTTCAGTTTTCTCTTAAATTTACTATTTAATGTACTTAAGTTTATTTTTTGCTAGACAGATCTATATTCCCATGGTGGTTTATTTAAATGCTTTCAAGCTTTGAAGACCTTTACCTTTCCAAATTAGATAAATATTCACCTATAGCTATATTAACCCTCACAATTCAGCTTTAATCCAGTGCTTCTTAACCTTCTGGGGCTACAGATTCCACTGAGAATCTCATGAAAGTGTTAGGCTTCCTGGAACCTTATCTATGAACTAACAATTCCTGCTTCAATCCATTTGGAGTTTATTTTGGTACAGAGTGTGATATGAAGAGTTAACTTTTTTCCCCTAAAAGCGCACTTGTCCAAGCATGACTGATAAAGTTATCTTTCCTATCCCACTGATTTGTGACACCTTTATCATTCACTAAATTCTCATAAATTTCAGAAAAGACTATTTTAACCAAGATGATGGCTATTATCAGCCTTTGCTCTGTGTAAGTAAAGCCAACATACTCACTCCTTCGGCAGCACTCTATTTTTCCTGAGAAATACCATAATCAAAATCGAGACCTGTTCTCTCTCTATATTTTGTACCTGGTGTTTTACTTGATCTAGATTTCAAATCTGATAGGAAAACAAGACATTAATAGCAATATTTTGATATTTTAGTTTTAGCAGTCATGTTTTTGAGTGATTGTTTATGATCTTTATTCTTTCCCCAAATCTCTATTTTGAAAAAATTTAAACTCTTACACAGAAGGCAAAAGAATAGCAAAATGAATACCTTTAAATCCAACCCTTAGCTCTGATTCTTAATTAACATTTTTCTCCCATATTTTCTTTCTTTCAAAATAAACTCATGGAAAGAAAATTGTGGGCATTATGAAATTTCACCTTTCAATACTTCAACAAGTATTTCCAAAAATACAAGGGTAGTCTCCTTGCTTTTTCCAGTGTTTTGCATTAGAAATTTTTTTTCTTAACAGCAACACAGGTAAGCCCACCACCCATATTCCAGCATTAGTAACTTACTGTAATTACTTTGCTTCATTTCTGTCTATCCATTTCATGTGTGCTTAGTCACTCAGTCATGCCTGACACTTTGCGAACCCATGTACTGTAGCCCGTCAGGCTCCTCTGTCCATGGGATTCTCCAGGCAAGAATACTGGAATGGGTTGCCAGTCCCTTCTCCAGGGGATCTTTCTAACCCAGGGATCAAACCCGGGGTCTCCTGCACTGCAGGTGGATTCTTTACCATCTGAGCTACCTGGGAAGGCTCTTTTTTTTTTTTTTTTTGGTGCACAAAAGTAAACTGCAGACATTAGAATATCTCCTAAATACCTCAGCAAGCTGATGAAATCTACAAATACATACAGTTTCCGAGTTCTGACAAGTAAATATAATCATGTAACTTATTCTTATGAACACATAGAACATTACCCTATGAGCCATTTTTGTGCAGAAATATGACTGCTTTATTTTTAAAAAAAGTTCACAAGGGAAAAAAAAACACTTGTTGGCAACACTGCTTATTATTTTCCCTAAAGTGGCCTGTTAGTAACTTTACCAAAAGGTACCAGCTCTCTTAGTATGCTGGAAGAGGCAACAGAATTATATGTGAAACTGAGATGGTTACCTAAGAAATTCATGTTAGAATGGGGTTCAAACTACAAACATATCTGCCTCCTAATTTTGGGAATATGTTTTATTGGAATATAGATCCTCATTCATTTATGTACTGTCTCTTGCTAGTTTTGTACTATGATGGATGGTACAGTGAATTAATTATGACAGACAAAACGCTCTGCAAAGCCTGAAATACTTAGCTTTGGCTCTTTATAGAAAAAGTCTGCCCACCTCTGCTCCAGAAGATAACTTGGTATCTTTGTTTCACATAATTAATGAAATGAATAAACACATACCAATAGAACATAAAATCAAAAAGTTAAGATCAAAGCCTAAAGTTGCCAACATTGCCTTCTAAGAGTCAGAAGTTCTGTATTATTAATCACAGTGGATATGTATGTGGGGTGGGGTGTAGTGAAGAAAAGGATATAAATATAAGTGTTTTATAAATAAAAATATAATATAAACCAAAAAGTTTTCTTAATAAGAGACAGAACACAGTTTTATTCAATAACGTAATGAATACTTAAAAAAGAGAACCCAACTTCCTATTTTAGTCAGGCGAGAGGTTAGAAGTAAGAAAAGCAGCGTGGGGTGAGAGATGAGGATACTAGGTGCAACACACTCTGCCATGGGTGGGGTGGAAGCAGGAAAACACAAAAAAGAAAGAAGGCTACAGGGAAAATAGGATCCAACACAGTGCCTGGCACAAAATAGATGATTAATATGTGAAAATTATAAATAATGACAATATAATAATAAATAATGACAATGGGACTTAATTAAAAGTCCTTTGTCACTTATTCTGTAGTGTTTAACTGGGTTGCAGGCTTTAAAATCAGTTATCACATGGCCCTTTGAAATTCTATCTAGTTGAGTAGTCTTCATGGTTTACTTGAAATCTTGGACTTCCTAAGAATGTGAGGCAGACACAGAAGGAGCCCTCCCCAGGGCTGGATAAAATCCAAAGGAGGACAGTCTGGTCTGTGTTTAAAGGTTATAAATATTTAGTTTCTTTATCTGAAATATCTCATTCCTGCAGAAGGTCACAGCAGACGGTAATCCTACATAAAACGATCAGCTAAAATAAATCAGAGCATTGTAGAACACATACTATTAATACTTCAGGTCACTGCTCTTTTCTTCTGGGAATAATAAACATTTCCTAAATTGTACAGAAACCATTTTTACCACGGGTTAAGGGTTCTAGCATGCTAGGAAGAGACTGCTCAGTAACCCGGAGAACAAGCTAAGAAGGAAAAGGAGATCTTTAATGACAGAGGCTTGTGTTTAAGAAGTACATAAATATAGCAGTAATTCTTAAACTTTAGAATCACCTGCAGGGCCTGTTAAAGCGAAGATTATTGGTTCCCAGCCCAAGTTTCTGATTCAGTGGGTCTGGGGTGAGGCTAACATTGCCAGGAAAAATAGAAGATGCTCAGTTAAATCTGGATTGTAGATAAACAACAAATAATTTTTTGGTCTAAGTATGTCTCAAATAATGCAAATATTTTTATTTCATTTTGTGTTAGATGCAAATATCTGGTTTTTATTCTGTGTGCTAATCTAACTCTGTGTTAGAATTTGCATTTCTAACAAGTTTCTGAGTGATACTGATGCTGCTAGTCTGGACCTTACTTTGAGAACCACTGATACACAGGATATTATGTCATCATCAAGAAGGAAAAGTTAGGGCCAGGGATGAGTGGATTAGGGAAGGATTCCTGGAGGAAAGGGCACAAGATAGTCATTACGGATGCCAAGAAGCTAGCCAGGAGGAGGATACTTCAGCCGTGAGGAAAAGAAGGGTAATATGAAAAGTTGACATTTAAAGGAAACCACAACCAGCCTGATGCTGCTGGTGCACAAAGCTTAATGCAGGCAGTGGGAAGTAAGACTAAAAGGGCAGCCACGGTCCAGAGAGCACAAGGACCTTATATACCACGTTAAGCACCTGGCGTTTACACTGAAAGACCATCACTGTAAGTGATGGGGGTTATGGAAGGGTTTTAAACAGAGCAGAGACCCCATCAGATATGTATTTCTAGAAAGATCACTTAACTGGAGAATCAGAGCACTGTGATTATTTGTTAAGGAGTAACTGATATGCAGTTAAGATATTTATAGACGTCATTTTAATCTAATTCTGCACAGACAAAAAGAAGGGAAGGAAATAAAACAATACTTAATTCATGTCTTCTTTTAAACCAATCCCAAATCTCTAAGACTAAAGCTTAACTAAGAAGAGAATTATGAAAATTTTTTTAAAAGATACTGGTAACTGAGCTCTCACTGAAGCCAAAAGGACACCTAATTTGAAAGATACCACGTAAAAATGGTTATAAAACTGTAGTTGTTGAAAGTATCTTTTTAAAGTCTTAATCTGATGTGTAATATGTTTTAAAATAAGATTTAAAAATAATTGTTGATATAACAGTGCTCATGTTAATTTTAAAAAAAGGACTTTTAAAAACAAAATACAAACAAAAAAGTAACCTGCTATCTTATGCCAGTTTTCTATTTCTGTTCTTAAACATGGTTAGGGGCTTTTCAACCTGTCAGAAACAAAATACAACACAATGAAGATGTCCCGACTTAAGGCAGAGACAAGACTGTACTAGGGGTTAGAAATTCCGGAGGCCAATTCTATTTTACCACTGAGTAAAATTCTCCATCAAATTCTCTTAAATGTAAAATGAATTAGCACAGATAATCTGCAGAGAAGCATCCCCTTTTATTACCAGTGTCTAATACAAGCAAAGAACACCTTCACCTATTTTCAGACAATATTTAAGTACACAAATGTGTATTTAAAAGCTATTAAAATATTCTTGGCTTAATCAAAGTCCCTTGGCTAAGATGCCAAAGGTCCCGAAAGACCATCTGGCAAAAGGAGTATTCCTTTAAGTGTTCTTTTGGAATATGCACTATAGCACCAAACCTATACTAAAAAGATACCTAAAGTGCTGCCCTGGAATGACACCTGTTTTCATTGTACATTCATAATACAAAACCCAGGATGAATCAGTTTTGCAATTTTAGGGAAAAATTAACTGGTCCATACTTCGTTTTTCTTTATGCAAAATGGAGCTAATCAATAATTAACAAAAGTTAAAATATAACATACATTGGCCATGAAGTCTGCAGCACTTAGAGACCTCTGGATGAAAGTTAAGAGCCAAGTTTTATTAGCCAAAAAGGGTAGGTTGGCTAAGGAGTGTGGGCCTGAAGCACTCGACAAATAACTACTGCAAAGCTGCCTCGTTCTACCATTCCAGGGCTATATATTAACTTGTTTCCTCTAAGTGGGCAGGTGAGGTCTTTTGTGGCGATCAAAGCTGGCCGCTGACACCCACTCTTTGAAAAACTTGACTCCCTCCAAGCACTGTGGAGCAATCAGGACCCACTGAAGCCGTACCTGTAATCGCAGAGCTTGGGCTGGTTGCCACACTGTTGCTTGCAAACTACACAGTAACTGCACAGGGGGACGTTTCCCCGGATCCAGTGGTGGGGCATGGCGTCCAAGGCCTTGCTGTCACTCTTGAGCATGATCTCCTTGCAGGGGAAGCGCTTGTCGGCCTTCTTGAGGCAGCCCTCGTCCACGCGCAGCCCACAGCAGTCGCAGAAGGCGCCCTGCAGGATGTGCTGCGCGCACACACAGCAGTAGGTGGGCTGGCTGAACAGGTCCGTGTCGCGCCAGCCGTGCTTGCTCTTGCGGAAGATGTCCCTGCGGTGCAGCTGCCGGCGCGACCGCTGGACGCTGCACCACAAGGTGATGAGCACGGGCAGCAGCACCGAACACAGAGTCCACAGGACCAGGTGCCCGTCCGCAAACGGGCTGGCGGGGGGCGCCGGCCGCTCCTGGCCTTCCATCTCCTCCAAGGACGGTGTCTGACTGGGAGAGACGCGGGCGGGTCCCCCACGGGCTCGCTGTCCCCCTGCCGCCCCCCTCCCTGTCTGTCCAAGGGGCCCCGCTCGCCCCGCCTTGCCCACGGTCGGACCTCGGAGCCTCAGGGTCGCCGACCCGCCTCGCCGAGGGGGCGGCACCCGGGGCCATGACGCTCCCCTCCCCCGCCCAGTCCTCTCCAGGCCGCGGGGAGGGGAGCGGCGAGGGGAGCGACCCCACTGTGGAGGCCGCTCCCCACGAAGGTGGCAAGGCGCCCCTGCTTGGGGCGCCGTGGCGCACGGGCCGCGCCCGCAGCCGTTAACCCAGGCCCGGCTCACGCGCGCCTCGGGGGCTCAGGGCCCCACGAGCCCGCCCACCGCGCGGCCTCAGCGACTAGGGTGCCCTCCTCGCCCGCGCGCCCGGCCTACCTCGTGTGGGGCTGGGGGTTCGGCTCCGGGGCCCAGGCCTCGGGCCTTGCTGTGGCCCTCGCGTAGCCGCGAGGCCCGCCGGGCGTGCGGACTCCGCGGGAGAGGCCGGCGCCGCCGCGGTCGCGGGTTATGAGGCGGGGCCTCAGCCGGAGCCCCTGGGCTACAAGGAGGTGTGAGGTGCGCCCGCGAAGCCGCGGGGCCTGACGGGGCGGTGCCTGACGGGGCGGGGCTAGATCGGGGGCGGGCCTCGGCTGGAGTGCCGGGGCTGAGGGGAGGTGTGAGGCGAGGCCGCGGGGCCTGAAGGGGCGGGGCCTCGCGGACAGGGCGGGGCTAGATCGAGGGCGGGCCTGTGGGCGGGGCTTAGGGAGGACAGTGGGCGGAGGAACAGTAGAGGGGGCCTTCGAGGTCTCCGAGCCTGTGATCACAGGGAGTTCTGGCGTGAATGTTTTGTTTACACAGTATACGTTTTTCTATGACCTGTAGCCTCACCCCTCCTCACTATCAGAAGAAGGTGGAACCTGGCACAGTTCTCAACACGGAAAGGGAGAAAAGTGGCAGTTTTGAGTGTGTTATGTACTGATTGAGGGGGACAATCCAAGTCAAAAATTGACGGCTGTTGCCTGCGCTCTTACTAGTTACTTATTAGACACACACTGGCTGCGGGCTCACTCTGTGCCAAGCACTGTGCGAGGAGCTCCAGCTCTCTTGGAGTGCCGGGACTGTTGAAACCTGCCTAACAAGGAGAATTTGGTAGCCTTGTTTAATGACTTACAGCACCGTAGCTTCCATCTTTGCACTTAGCAGGGGCCATGCTAAACTTATCATGCCCATTTTACAGACGAGGAAGGCTGAGGTACAGAGAAATATGTTTGATGTCATAAACTCAGTGTTGGGACTGAGATCGCCTTAACTTCGTCATTGAAATTCAGTTCAGTTCAGTCGCTTAGTCCTGTCCGACTCTTTGAGACCCCATGAACTGCAGCAAGCCAGGCCTCCCTGTCCATCACCAACTCCTGGAACCCACCCAAACTCATGTCATTGAGTTGGTGATGCCATGCAACCATCTCATCCTCTGTCATCACCTTCTCCTCCTGCCCTCAATCTTTCCCAGCATCAGGGTCTTTTCCAGTGAGTCAGCTCTTTGCATCAGGTGGCCAAAGTATTGGAGTTTCAGCTTCAGTGTCAGTCCTTCCAATGAACACCCAGGACTGATCTCCTTTAGGATGGACTGGTTGGAACTCCTTGCAGTCCAAGGGACTCTCGAGTCTTCTCCAACACCACAGTTCAAAAGCGTCAATTCTTCGGCGCTCAGCTTTCTTTACAGTCCAACTCTCACATGCATACATGACCAATGGAAAAACCATAGCCTTGACTAGATGGACCTTTGTTGGCAAAGTAATGTCTCTGCTTTTTAATATGCTATCTAGGTTGGTTCTAACTTTCCTTCCAAGGAGTAAGTGTCTTTTAATTTCATGGCTGCAGTCACCATCTGCAGTGATTTTGGAGCCCCCCAAAATAAAGTCAGCTGCTGTTTCCACTGTTTCCCCATCTATTTGCCATGAAGTGATGGGACCGGATGCCATGATCTTAGTTTTCTGAATGTTGAGTTTTAAGCCAACTTTTTCACTCTCCTCTTTCACTTTCATCAAGAGGCTCTTTAGTTCGTCTTCACTTTCTGCCGTAAGGGAGGTGTCATCTGCATATGTGAGGTTATCGATATTTCTCCTGGCAATCTTGATTCCAGCTTGTGCTTCATCCAGCCCAGCCTTTCTCATTATGTACTCTGCATATAAGTTAAATAAGCAGGGTGGCAATATACAGCCTTGATGTACTCCTTTTCCTATTTGGAACCAGTCTGTTGTTCCAGGTCCAGTTCTGACTGTTGCTTCCTGACCTGCATACAGGTTTCTCAAGAGGCAGGTCAGGTGGTCTGGTATTGAAGTTAACTTCAATCTATGTGATCAAAGGGGCTTCCCTGGTGGCTCAGTGGCTTCTTGTGGAGCACAAGCTCTGGGGCACGCGGGCTTCAGTGCTCGCGGCACACGGACTCGGTTGCCCTGTGGCATGTGGGATCTTCCTGGATCAAAGAACGAATTGGTGTCCCTTGGATTGCGAGGTGAATTCTTAACCAGTGGACCACGAGGGAAACCCAAGGTGTGACCTTTGACCACCTCCATTGTCATCATCTAAAAATGTGGGTTCCCAGGTCTTCATCAGATCCCTGGATCAGAATTGTACTGGAGTTAGGAGTCTACCTTCTTAACAAGCTCCCCAGATAATTCTTTTATTTATTTATTCAAACTTTTGTTCGAATTGTGAAATGTATTAAATTGTGAAATGTATATAATGCACATACAAAAGATTTTTATAAAACATATGCACAGTCAAAAAAATAATAAGCACATGTATACCCGCCATGTAGGTTACTGTATTGAACATTAAGAGCCTTTCCTGTGCCCACCTGATGGCTATGCCTCCTCCCCCATCAGGAAACTGTCATCCCATTTTTTGTGTTCTCCATTCCTTGCTTTTCTTTATAGTTTTACCCTTGCTGAAGGTGTCTCTACGCAATATACTTTTGTTTAGAAAAACCAGCCCAAGCCTGGCGCTGTCAAGAAGTAGCAGTGAGGCCAGTAATACATGAGGGCTCCCAGGATGACAAGATATACTGAGCAGGGGCCGGGACAGAATCTGGGCTCAGTTTCTGCCCTGAGAAGATCCCACCTGGAGAAACCAGTGGCGGTGGGCTTGGGAAGATTGTTCAGCACCATGGGGGTCAGCTGGGCCGGGCTGTAGTTTGACTATCTGGAAAAATATGGCTGTGGAAGGGGATGCTTTGTAGGTTTGCTTCTCAGCTTGGTAAGACTTCCTTCGAGGTCTTAGAAGAAGGTCCAGATAGAATGCTGCTCATGGAGGAATGAGTATCTTTAGCTGATCCAGGCAATATACATGGTCATTAAAATAAACAGACCTGTCCCAGATAAACAGATAGTCTGTCCCAGGCTCACCCAGCTGCCTATCCTCAATGTGTCTCCGTATCGTGATGCCGACCTGCACTGCCTGTCCCCCCTGTCAGAACACAGAGGTCATCTTGGGATCCTCTTAACTGCCATCCTGTTTCCATCTTCTGTTTCCTGGGTCCTGTGACTTCCCCTTTCTTGGTGATTCTCTAGGTTTTGTGGAGCACATCCTTCAGTAGTTTTGAGAGCAAAGGTACCTGGGAAGCATATTTTTGAGTCCTTGCATGTTTACACATGTCTTTATTCCTCCTTCTATACCTGATTGTTTATCTGCATGTACAATTCCAAGTTGGAGAAATTTTCCTTCACACCACTGAAGACAGTGCTCCATTTCTGCTTTCTCTCAAGTGTTGCTGTAGAGATGTCAGTGTTGCTGATGGGCTTTCCTGGTGTCTCAGGAGGTAAAGAATCCGCCTGCCATGGCAGAAGACACTGGTTCAATCCCTGGGTCGGGAAGATCCCCTGGAGAAAGGAATGGCTACCCACTCCAGTATTCTTGCCTGGAGAATTCCATGGACAGAGGAACCTGGCGGGCTACAGTCCATGTAGTTGCAAAGAACGAGACACGACTGCACAACTAAAACACACCATTAAGAGATGTCTAATGTTCTTCCTGATCCCTAGAATGTGACTTGTTTTTGCTTTCCTGAAGCTTGTAGAATCCTCTCTTTTTCTTCAGTGTTCTGAAATTTCCCAAAGATGTGCCTTGGTGTGCGTCTGTTTTCATCTGTTTTGCAATTTGCCCAGCCCTTTCAGTCTGAAAGTGTGTGTCCCTCAGTGCTGGAACTACTTTGTTGATTTCCTCCTCTTTTCTGTCTGTGTTCTTTTTGAAACTTCTGTAATCTGGATGTTGGACCTCCTGGACTGTTCTCTCTCTCTCTTTTTTGTCAATAGACTTTATTTTTTAGATCGGTTTTAGAATCACAGCAAAATGGAGCAGAAAGTGCAGAAGATTCCCTTATATCCCCTGTTGCCCCACATGCACACCCTCCCTCATCATCAACATTCCCCAGCAGAGTGGTGCGTTTGTTGCAATCGATAAACCTACTTGGGCATTCGCATCATCACTCAAAGTCCACTGTTTGCAGTAGAGTTCACCATTGGTGCTGTGTGTCCTCTGGGTTTGGACAAATGTGTGATGACATGTATCCACTATTATAGTGCCAACGCAGGACAGTTTCACTGCCCTACAAATCCTCTAGGTTCTGCCTGTTCCTTTCTCCCTGGTTCCTCACCCCTGGTAACCACTGATCCTTTTCCTGTTTCCATAGTGTTGCCTTTTCCAGAATGTAATATAGTTGGAATCCTAGGATATGTAGCCTTTTCAGATTGGCTTCTTTCATGTAGTAATGTGCATTTAAGTTTCCTCTGTGTCTTTTCATGGCTTGATAGCTTATTCCTTTTTAGTGCTAAGTAATAGCACTTTAAATTTAGGGCTAAGTAATTGTCTGGATGTGATCCTATAGTTTATTTACCCTGTAACCTACTAAAGGGCATCTTGGTAGCTTCTAGGTTTTGACAACTATGAGTGAAGCTCCT